ATGAACTCACAAATGCTTCGTTATTTGCTAGTGCAGTGTTGTTATCAAATTAAATAAAATACTACAAGAATCTCCGTGTCACACTCGATTCAGAGATACTGTATTTTTCTCTATCCTGTACCTGAGTGCTGCATTAACTTGCTTTATGTGAAATGACGATAAATTGGTGGGACAGAGAAGTATGATACAGGATATCCGAGGGTTTCCGAAGCCGCTAAGACTCTGGACTCTGGATATAAATATCCTGAGAATTTCTTTAACAAAATAAGTACCGAAAGCCAAAAATCGACAACTCAAATGAACTTACCAGTACTTCTGGAACCAATCACCAATGTGATATGCTGTTTACTTGGTGCTGTTATTTTAGCTTTTACATCACGGCAAGGTTGCGATGTACACGATTTCATTACTGCTTGCGTGAGATGGTGGGATTACTACCTCGTCGTTGATTGATGTCGCAACAAGGCTATTTGGTAGCACGAATAATAAGTCCTGTACAAATTACATGTAGGAATTCCGAACTAGAAGGGTATAATTGGTAAACAGGTATTAGTCTCCGCTAATGATGGCATCGCGGCGTTATTGTAGAGAAAACGCCGATGCGCTGTTACAGGATAAACTGATAGCTTACAGTCTCTGAATGTTTGTTCGGAAGTCCCATTTCGGCAGTTTCTCACCTGTGTTATTTTGTCGAAACAGTACATTCATCATTGTAGACGATTTAAAATCCACGTCGGCTATGAGCATTGAATTGCATTAAAACGACGAGAGATTCGATTACACAACCACTAAATTGCTCAGCTTTGGAGTTATCTTGCAGGAAACTTTCAAATTTCCCTATAGAAGCACAATTGCGACGTTTGAGCACTAAAGTAAACAAAAGTAAACAAAAACGCTTTCAGAGTACCAAACTTCCATTTCTAGATTGCTTTAAAATTGCCCAGTATAATTAATACAATTGCAATTATTAATTTCAAGATGTCGGCAAGAAATATTACGATGAACATTGATAGCACTGTCTTCTCTTAGTAGAAGTTCAACTGTCTTATCATAGTCTTTGCCACCGAGATTCCTGTGTACGCGGTGGTCTCACCGACGTACAGCACGCAGGAGGAGTCGTTAGATGAGCTAGTCAACTCGACATTCTATGTCGAGTCCATGATCAAAGGCACCGGAACGGGCGCCAAGAAGCACGCGACGACGCTCGGCCGGTTTGAGAAATCCTTCGTCTTCATGGTGGACCCCAACTCATCGTGCGGGGCGTCGCTCTACAGCTTCTCCATCGCCTGTGCAGCTTTTATAGGCTGCTTCACCCTGTTCCTGCAGACCCTTGATGGTCCAAACTACTAGAGTTCCGAGTCAGAGTTCCCGAAACTCCCCAACGAGAGCGCCTACTACGACGCGGACCTGGTCTTTACTATCATTTTCACCCCAGAACTGCTTCTCCGCCTCATATCTGGCTGTCCTTATGGCACGAACATAAATACCTCACGGAGCGACGTCTAAAGCCTTTTCTGCGCGACTTTTTCAATTCGTTCGATGTCGCTGCCATCGTCCCCTTCTACACAGACCTTCTCTTCGGTAAGGAGGTTTGTGTTGTAATACCAAACTTGTCGCACTCGTCACTAAGAGATCTGCACAAATCACCAAGCGTGGCAGATAGGATCACTACACCCAAACATCAGTATGCATCACCAAAAAAGATGGTGATATCACCAAGAAGTAAATAGTGCGCTACCAAGACAATGCCATGCCATGCAGTTGTGGCACTGCCGTTAATGTGCAAGCAAGTGCGTGTGAATCAAAATCCCTCGAATAAATATTTAGTTCTCCTAACCTGTTCTTCTTGTACGCTGCCTGCAACGTGTGCTGAGCACTACCACGTTCTCTGCCACTCTTGCCACCTGCCCACCTTGCAGTGTGTTCTGCATCTTCCGTAGATGCCGGTATCATCGGAACTTGACTTATAGAGGGGTTCGCGGAAGTGGGCAAAACTACCGGTGAGTGCGCTTGCGCGCTTGCTCCTGAGATTCAGCAGCACGAGTGGTAGGGCGACGACGACGACCCGTTCTGCGAGGTTTGGAGGTGCTCGCACGTTGAGCGCTTAGTCTAGCCACCGCCTCATGTGCTCCTGCGGT